GAAGCCTTTACAGGCTGCAGCAGCCACTGGCCCGCACCCCAGGCCAGCCCAGCCCAAACCCAAACAAACAAAGCACAACATGAGCTTTCACAGGCTTCCTCCCGATTGCGACCCAACACAGCCCACCCCAACTCCCCAAAGCAAGAGCTCGAAAGCATTTCTAGGCTGCAATCAAGCAGCATCACCCAGCACCAGGCCAACCAACACGAACTCAGCATTCGAGAAGCCTTTAAAGGCTGTAATCTGCCACCACCATCACACCACAGCAGCACAACCCATTCCATGCCAAACCCATTTCACTGAGGAAACTAAAAGCTTTGACAGGCTTTAACCGACACCGTCACCCAGCACCAGCCCAACAAACCACTCCAATCCTCCCCGCATCAAGACTCCAGAAGCCTGTAAAGGCTGCACCCGACCACTAGCACTCCACCCCAACCCGACCATTGTGCAGCCAATACCGTTGCATGCACACACCTGATGTGCTTCTTGATATATACTAAAATACTAGCTCCATATGTCTAGCAATATAGCAGAAGCAGCTGCAACATGCTAGTAATTGCAAGAAGGCAAATAACACCACAATTTATATTTCTAAATTCAATGTTACGGGCTTGGGCTTCCAATTTATAATTCTAAATTGTAGGTGCCAGGCTCTGATCTTCATTTTATTTTTATGAATTCATTGTTCCAGGCTGTGTGTTTGAATTTATTTTTACAAATTCATTGTCGAGGGCTGCTGTCTGGAATTTATTTTTCTAAATTGTGGCTTCTGGTGGGTTCCTCAAAGAAACCATGTACATTGTTGAATGATTTAAGTCTATTGTATAGGTTTGTCATGTTGATTGATGCAAACACACTAAACCGTAGCTGCTGTGCTCGCCCTGCCTGAGCATCTCCTTCCCCATTCTTTGCTATGGAGACCGGAACAATGACCATCTCCGGCGACTCGACTGAACACAGATCCACTGGCACGAACACTGCTGGGGTTGCTCAGCCCTTGCAGATCAATGGTGTGGTTCTAGATGGTGCCGAAGATTCGCAGGTTGTGGTCATGGACGAAGATTACATCACAGAATGGGCTATGAATCAATCTTGCTGGAGGGACTACTTTGCTGTTGTCTCGCAGCACAACAGCACTGCAGTTGGTTCGAACTGGAGCACAGGAAATGTTTCTTCTGGTTTGGAGGAGAACTAAAACATGCAGCTTCCCACCTAGCTTTGCCTTAGCAATGCGGGCATTAATTCGAGGCTAGCTAATTCGTGCTCGACAATCTATAATCGGTGCACTGCGAGTGGAAATGACATGCAGGTCACATGGCCTTGCAATGTGTTCGTTTGGTTTGCACAGCGAAAGAGAACTTAGACCAGGAATCCCCTGCACCCTTGCAACCCCATTGCCCACAGTTCACAAACACAACATTCACAACTCAGCCTCTACAGGCTTCTGCACTCAGTGGCTTGCTGTGCTTCCCGATTTACGAATGAGCCTGTACAGGCTGACTGCACAAGGCCCTCTCTATAAGGCTGTCGGCGAATCTTTTTTTCTCGACACATCCACCGGCTCACATCACAGGTACCACTTGTAGGCAAGCTCGCCATGTTTCGCATACTGTGTGTCGAGATGCTTGAGAGGGTTCTGCAGGCCGGGGTGTCTCTGCAGCCTTTCCAAATCCTTGCCCACATCAAAGCCCATGAAGTGCTTGTGC